AACGCTCTGAATTCGGAGTCTTTTGCTGATGGCTCTTTGTGCCGAGCATGAAGAGTGCTCTAAATTTGGGGGTGACGCTTATGAATAAAAGTAAAGCAATCAAAATTAAATAAATAAGAAAAATAACATCTTGTATCATTGATTCGGTACGTATACAAAGTAATATTATACACAAAAGCCAAGCAAAATAACCATTGATACTAATGACAGAATTTACAGAGATGAGTGGAATTCTAGGATCGAGGTAACTTTTTGTCATTCATGTCTGAGAGTCGATATGCCCCTGCCCTGGCGATGGAATCGATCTTTTATGGGCCGTCTCAATTTTGGGTCGAGTTTACCGTGCACAAGATTCTTAGCAATAGGGAGCACCTTTTTAAGGACAAACTCTCCAAGAGCATATCGGCGCAAATGCACTCATTGATTTTATGATTTGGCGGCATTCTTCAAATAAGTCCATATCCAGGGCCAATATCATATTATTTCGACCTGTGTCGAAGGCTCAGGATCGAAGGGTTGGTAGGCCAATCTCTAGAGGAATGATAGCTTCATTTCCAAAACACAAGACAAATGGGGTCTCCGCTATGGGACATCCCGACATAGTGCGATGGGCCCACAATACACTCGGCAACTCTTCAACCCACTTTCCCTTGGCTTTTTCCAAACACTTCTTGATGCCATCCAGTAGGGGTGGGCGCGGGTCAGTTGCGGCCACAGAACCTCCAATCCACTATCCGTCTGTCAGATTGGCGGATTGGAAAAAATCAATCTGCATCCGTCCGCCAATCCGGTGGATGTGGATTGAGCGAATTGGCGGCTTGGCGGATGGATGCGAATCGGTTTGGCGGTTTAAGATTTTATAAATTTTCAACGTAATTCAACTTGTACACTTCTTAAAAAAAAAAATAATAATAATAATAAAAAAGTATTACAATCAATGACTTAAAAAACTATGCTTGGTTACCACTTTTTAAAAACACTTTTCAGAAAATTCTACTTTCTTATTTTCTGTGTTTTTTTGTTTTTACTGAATTTTTTTAATATTTTGAGCAATTTTTTTAATTTTTAGACATACCTAACATAAATATACCTAAAAAGTTTTAAAAAAAAAATTTGAAAAAAACCTTTTAAAAATTCACTAAATACCAAAAATACAAAAAAAAAATACGAAAATTCAGTATATTTTTTGTATTTTTATGTATTTATTAATTTTTAAAAATATTTTTTCACAAATTTTTTACTTTTTAGATACATCTAAGTAAGGTGCATCTAAAAAAATTAAAAAAAAAATGTTTAAAATTTTAAAAATATTCACTAAAAACAAAAAAACACGAAACCCAAAAAATTCAGTTTTCAAAAAACTTAATTCAAAAAACTCAAACCAAACACACTGATTACAATCACTATATGTCTCATCCAAAAAAGAAAGTTTGAAACTTTAGAATATCACAATCACTGCATGGCTCATCCACATATTACAATCACAGCATAATTCATTCACATATTACAATCACAGCATGATTCATCCACATAAAGTATTACAATCTGTAGTTCTTAAAATATAATAACAATTCAAACCACCAAACTATGAACAGGGTAGTAGTAGAGATTGTATGTCTCTGTATTGTTACATCTATATATGTTTTTGAAAACAAAAACCAACCAACATATATCATATTTTATATTTATTATTTTTAGAATTAAATTTAAAAACCAAAAAATATAGATAAATAATACGTTTATTTTTTTCAATTCAAAAAATATATTCAAGTTGAAAACTTTTTTTCAACAGAATATTTAAATTCTTTTTCAATTGAAAACACAAACAAATTGAAAACATAAAATCTTATAAATTATTAGGGGTACTCGCGGTTTGGCGGTTCGGTTGCGGCCAAAAGAATCTCAAATTCGCCATCCGTCCGTCGAATTGGCGGATTGGAGAAAATCAATCCGCAACCGTCTGCTCGTCATCATGCATCCGTCCAAAATGCGGCGGATTGGTTCGGTTCGGTCGGTTTTGGCAGATCGGTATATCCGTTGTTCACCCCTACCATCCAGGACCACTTTGTTGGAAGCCTATGCTTATCCGTTACTTTATGGGTAAGCTAGTGAGGAAAAATAAGGGTCGAATGCCATACATGTCACACAACTCTCGGTAAATGCTGCAGTCAAACTGAGTGTTGTTATCAGAAATAAGCACCCTGGGTATGCCGAACGAGTGATGATATTCTTCCAAACAAATCGCCTGATATCTGCATCTCGTATATGTGCCAATGGTTCCACTTCAACCTATTTCGTAAAATAATCGGTAGCGAAGATTAGAAATTGCTTATTGCCTGGAGCTTTCAGCAGTGGCCCTACTATGTCCAATCCTCATTGAGCAAAAAGCCAAAGGCTAGTCACAGTGTTCAAGTCCTCAGCGGGCAAATGTGTTAGTGAGGAGAACTTCTAGCATTGTTTGCATTTCTTAACATAATCCTTAACATCAGTACGCATGGTTGGCCACAAATACCCCTGCGTGCTAGCTCGATGAGCCAAGGACCTTCCCCCTAACTGAGGACCACAACTGCCATCATGAATCTCGGCCAAAAAGTCTTCAACCTTGTCTGGATGGACACATTCCAAATATAGCCCAAAGAGAGAATTTTTTATAAAGTTTTCCCTGAGGATCTAACGCCTTATTCTACAGCTTGTGGGCTTCCTTCTTATCTTTTGGTAATCGATCCGAAGTAAGGAATGCAGCAATGGGATCCATCCAACTCAGCCCTCTTTGAATGGTGTTTACAATAGGATATTCATGGACAATGATACTCAGCTCCGGAATGAAACCCATTTCAATGGTGAGCTTAACTTTTGAGTTTACCGCCGATGCTAAACAGACAAGGATGTCAGCGTGTGTTCTGGTCGCAAGTAATCCGGTTCAGTTCGTGGCTATCAAACTTCAGCAGTAAGGAGTTGGCTATCCTCATATAGGCCCCCATGCAGTCATTCTTAGCGGCATACTTGCCTTTCAGCTGGTTTATGACCAATTTCAAGTCACAAAAGACTTGTAGCCGTTTAGCTCCCATTTGAAGCAGGCTTCTAAGACCGACTAGTAGGGCTTCATATTTGGCCTCATTATTTGAGGCGTCGAATCCAAGTTTAACCGATTGTTCTACCACTGCTCATTTGAGGGTCATAATGACTACTCATGCCCCACTGCCGCATTGGCTAGATGATCCATCGCAATATAACTTCCAAACGTCACCGACATACATTCTCCATTGTGGCTGTGACTGGGAAGCCAGCTGACCCTGATTTAGCTCGGTTTGTGGTTTAGTGAACTCAGCAACAAAATTGGTCAGGACCTATCCCTTGATAGTCGTCCTTGGTGAAAACTAGAAATCATATTGACCGAGTTCCAATGCCTATTTGGAAACTCGCCCCAAAGATTCTGCTTTACGTAGGATTGAATGAATGAGGTGATCCGTTAGAACCTTAATGGTATACGCTTGAAAGTAACGCATCAGTTTTCTGGCGGCTACGACAAGGGCTAGGATCAACTTTTCCAGAGGTAAATATCAAGTTTCAGTGTCCACCATCGCCTTGCTAACATATAAGATAGGCTTTTGCTCGCTAAGTTCCTCTTTAAGTAAGACGGTGCTTACTGCTTAATCAGATACCGCTAGATACAAGACAAGCACGTCGCCTGGTGAGGAGGAAGCCAGAAGCGAAACGAAACTGAGATAGGCTTTCAACCCTTCTAGAGCGACTTGGTATTTGGGAGTCCATTTAAATAGTTTGCCCTGTCGAAGTGTTTAGAAGAATGGCCTACACTGATCTGATGACCGACTGATAAATCTGTTCAATGCTGCAACCATTCCCATTATCTTCTAAACTTCTTTGGCCGACCCTAGTGAGCCAAGTTCCATGATGGCCTTTATTTGTTTCGGATTAGCTTCAATTCCACGATGATCGACAATATAGTTAAGGAATTTGCATGACCCGATACCGAATGCAAATTTTGAGGCATTAAGCTTCATTTTGTATTTCCGCAGAATATCGAAAGTGGTAGTAAGATTGGCTAGGTGTGCCTTCTTTTCCTTGGATTTCACCACCATATCATCATGGAGCCATGTTCGGCCCATGATTATATTATATGGTGATGGGAGCTTGGCGACTAGGAATTCAACTTCTAGTGTCTTGGTGCCTGCCCGCACTGGTAACACAATCTTTCCCAAGAGGTATCCCGAATTGGCATTGAAACCAAAGAGGGGGTAATTGGTCGGCCTGAGATCTTCATCCTTAAGGCCGAGTTTGATAAACGTTTTATAGTACATTATCTCGGAGGTGCTCCCTTGGTCAACCAGGATACGCTCAACGGCAAACTTATTTACGCGCAATTCAATCACGAGGACATCGTCATGAGGCACAGTGACCCCTTGAAGATCAGCGTTGGAGAAACTAATTTCATTTGACATTCACTGCCGTTTGGATGATATACTAGGTTCGAAACTAAGTTGGGCAGATCGCTGTGACTGGATTGTATTCACTCTATTCAGCAGGGGTAAGCTATATATCACATGGATAACCCCGAATGGAAGTGAATTAAGACATACAGTAAGTACATCTAGTGGGCTAGCTTTGTTTGGGAGGTATTCAGTTAGTCGGCCACTTCAGACGAGATCCTCCACATGATCCTTTAGGATGCAACATTTATCAATTGTATGCCCATGATTTTTGTGATAGTCGCATGTCCAATATTGTCGTCTCATTTTAGTGGGCCTGGCTATCTTGGTCGGCATTTTAAAGGAAGCCAGATGCTCAATTTTTGGAAAAATCTTACTAATTGGCACCGTTAGCTCCATGTATTTCTTATCTAACCGCCTTAAGTGCCTGTTTTCTACCTGGTATTGCTCGTTTTGTCGGCGTGAATCTCGGCGGTTTTTCCTTCTTGGTCGGCCTCTTGGCTTTAGGCTCTCCCTTGGTGGGGTTCTGTTTGGTGGTGCAATGGTGAGTGGCTATACCAGGATAGGTGTTGTCATTTCTGCAACTTCCAATCCACCTTTAACGCGTATTGCATCGTCTTCCACTTTGCAATACTCTTTTACTTTCTTCATCAGAGCCCAGACTATCTTGGAAGGTTTTCGAGTCAGCGAACTCCTAAGTGAGCTATCGGGATGCAACCCCATCTTGAAGGCTGTAATTGTCGTGGAATCGTTGCAATCGTCATCCACCAAATTAAAGCACTCCCAATAGCGAACTGAATATTCGCGTAGGGTTTCATTAGTCTTGATTTTCATTGTCCACGGTGAGTCTGATTGTTTCAGCTGGGTCTCATTGGTGATGAACCTAGCCCTGAAGGATTTTTGAAGTTGATGGAAACTCTCAATTGAAGTTGGCTCAAGCTTGTAATACCACCTGACGGCGAGCAGTCCCAGACTGCTAGGGAATATTTGGCACATGAGTGCCTCACCGTCTGCATGCAGCATCATTGCTTACTTGTAATGACAAATGTGATCCGTGGGGTCCGATTTTCCATCATAGAGAATGAACGATTGTGCTTTAAACTTCTTAGGTAGGACAGCCTTGGCAATACGTCGTACGAAAGGATTGTGCTTATCTTCCAAGTCTGAATCATTGTCTTTCTTTTTTCTTCTGTGATGCTCTTACAAAGGACTTTCCCCATCTAACGAACTAGATGCGTCTACTCGACCTTGTTTTTTGGGTTTTTCCCATGAAGAATCTAACGTACTGATGCCATGCCTCCGAGGCTAACGTTGTCGCCTCTTCTGCGCTCTTAGAGCCCGACCACGCTCATGGGGAAGTGGTAATTGTTGGGACTTTGCCAACTCTTGATGCAGGCGCTTGTTTTCGATTGCCATTTCTTTGATACGCTGCTCACTACGTTGCATTCGACTCATCAACATTTGCATGGCATCCTCTGCGGATGTCAAAGGCTAAAATGGGGTTAGTGGATCAAAATTCAAGGACCTCCTTACAGGGGTTTCTTCTGGACCAAAAATTACTCTTGCTATAGTGTTATCTACTGCTGGAGGATCTTGGTTTGGGCTTGTCTTGGATGAGTTTGAGTATTTTCACAGACGGCGCCAATTGTGTGGAAGTGAATATGGAATACTCCTTCAATCCAAATGAGTCCTTGGGAAATCACTCCAGTTGTGACCTGAAATAAAAATAAAACCCCGGACGGTAGTGCCATAATTAACACTCCGACGGTCTAGTTAATTTCAGTAGAAGGGTTGGCCTTTTATCATTTCTTGTGGTTTAAGGTTCTTAGCACATACCTCCTTCTCCAGCCTCTCTCCTCCTTTTATATAATCACTCTCCTCGATCTTCACTCCATGCAGCTTAGCCGTTCATCATCATCCTGTCAGGGCCCATCCCTCTATCATATTTCCTTGAAAAGGAATTCTGGTCCCACTTGCTGGGTCCATGCCAACTCGCCCGACATATTTTGCTCTTCTATTCATCATGGGTACTCTCAATTCAGCGTACCCTCTATATTGCTGTGTATACTCGGCAAAGATCCAACATCTAATGGGCTTGGGCTTTATTTGGCCCATCTAAGATGGGTTCGGATACTCTGTTTGTCATTCTTGATAATCATCATTCTCAGCCCCCACAAATACTTATATACCAAACATGATTTTTGTTTTTGTTTTTATCTAAAGTAAATATAAACATATTTAATATTTATTGTAAACAAAAAAGGAAAATGTCTCGTAACTCAAATTTTGTGGCTCAAAAGTGTCTCAAATGGCCAAAACGACGTCGTTTTGGCCATTTTTATGTTGTTCTGTACTCAAAACGACGTCGTTTTGGCCATTTGAGCCACTTTTGAGCCACAAAATTTGAGTTACGTAGCATTGTCGAACAAAAAATAGTAGACTGTAAACTTTGTGAAACGGCACCAGTGTTTAACTTTTACTACAGTAAGCTAGACCTTGTTTATCTAGACTCAATCATGAAAAAAATTACATTTTTGAAAAAAATAAATAGAAGGGGAAAAAATTCTATATATCAGCTCACTTCTCTGGGCACAATTATCGGATTTTTTTTTTTGCCCCCTAAAAAAATATTCGTTATGCAAGCCCACTTCTCCTCAGCTACATGGCGCCTAAACCCCTTGCCACTCATTTTCTTTTATTGAAGAAATCATTAATCCGTCTAATTTAAAGTCATGCAATTGAAGGATTTATGTGCCCAATCAGCCATTATTATTTTCAAGTTATGTTATAAAATCTGACTTTCTTTTGATTTTCCCTGTATCCATCCATGAAATATTACAAAAAAGTATTACTATGTGCACCCCCAAAAATAAAACGTATGGTATGCACTTCATATAAAAAAATATATAATTTTTATGATAAAATGTATAGTTTTCATCACCAAAAATATAACTTTCTATAAAATATAATTTTTTGCTCATTATAAAAAGTATAAGTTTTTTCCACAAAAAATATGAAGTTATCATAATATAATTTCACCATTAATGAGAAAGATATCATGTGCACTGCAAAAGGGTGCTTTTATACAAAAGTACAATTTTATCATAGAAAGTATAATTTTTTGCTTACTATAAAAATATGACTTTTCATTTATTACTAATGTATAATTTTTACAAATAAAAAACATAACTTTGTCATTCATAACTTTAGGAGTGCGCCTTATAATTTCGTCATTTGTAACTTTCACCACAAAAAAATTATAAATTTCACCACAAAAATAGTAATTTTTATTACGATGTACACCGTTTTAGGGATGCACATTACTACACAACTAAACTGAAAAGGGCTAATAGTTGAGTTGAAAATTTTAAAATTCAGTTGAAAACAAACAACATACAAGAAATAAAAGGAAATCACTCATTTTCTTACATAAGATTGTTTTAGCCAAACAAAGCAGCAATAGTTAAACAAGTATAGAAATCATCTCAGGTCTCCAATCTCTCATTTTTCCCATCCACTTATCTCCTCAAGGTTTGTAAGATGTACTCAGCATAAAGGTCCCTGCATAATAAATAAATAAAAAGGGGTAAAATCTAAAATAAAACTAATATTTGAGCCACTACAATTTGTATTTGTGATCACAAGAAGTAGTGGTACTATTTGTTCAACCTTCACAACAAAGTTGTGTAACTACGATATCTAGGTATCTTCATTTCAAAATTTGTGATATAAGTGGATCACTCAAGGAAAGAAGCTAAATACAGCTCTATTTCTCCTTCAGTTCACTAAAGCTATGTTTGAATCTTGGATTTGTAGAGGGTGAAAAAAAAAAGTGAGTGAAATAGAAGCTAAATTTTTTCCACAAATCTCCACCCTTTTGTTTTTCCCGTACAAATCCCTTCACCAATCCAATATCCAAACACCCGTCTTTCTCTCACATCCCTGAAACTATGAAAAATTCTTGCCATTTTAAGGTTCAGAAAATAATCGAGACGTATTTTTCCTTCACCGCCATGATCACATATTTAAAGCTTACATTGAGTACTGGATAGCTTCATGAGCTGTAGCTGAAGGCAGAAAATCATTAACTGCAACTTCTTTGTTCTCGTTCTTCTTGTCTAAATTAATTGTCAAGAAAAATATTCCGTCTCCATCTTAGTTTTCATAAATATCAAATACCTAGAGTGAAAGGTGTAAAGGATACAATCTTCAAAAAAGCGACGAATCTCAGCTAGTCGATGAGGAGGAAGCTCTTTGATGTCAGTGTAGTGGCGATACTCTGGATCATCAGCACAAACTGCAATAATTTTATCATCCTTTTCTCCCTGATTAAAATTTAAAATTTACAAACCAAATACAAAAAATTAAAATTGTATTAGCATCAAAACATTGTCAAGAGAAGAGAGCAAATAGGTTAGCTTTGGGGCATCAGCAGCACCTGATCAATCATAGGCATGAGCCCAATCGCCCTGGCACGAAGAAAACAACCAGGCAGAACAGGTTCCTGTTCCACAAGTCAATTGTAGTTGTGAGGTACGGACATTGAGATAAAAGTATTGGCTTGCAAAAAAGAGTTAATCTTCATGGTGGGTAGTGTTATATGAGTGTAATTTTCCACCGTTGTTAGGTTGTACAGAAACTAGAAGTGTCCTTCATATTGATATACAACTTACACGTAATTTAGGTTGGCCTACCTGCATGAGAATTAATACATCCAGTGGGTCATTATCTTCACACAACGATCGAGGGATGAAGCCATAGTTATGCGGGTAAACCACTGACGAATACAAGATGCGATCAACCTGAGCATCCATTTGAGCAGTTAGAAGAATCGCAACCAAGGAACAATAATCATATCAAAGACAAAAGCAATGGTAGGGAAGTAATTTATTTATTTATTTTGGAGTTCTGAAGGTAAATGGTGATTTGTAGAAAGTATCCATCTGTTGGGGATTTGTTACTCACAAAATTCAAAGTACATGCGACATCATCCAAAAACTGGAGCATTGTGTATTACCTTAATTAGACCGGTTTTCTTGTCAAGTTCATATTTGACTTTACTTCCTTTCGTTATCTCAACAACCTGCTCCAAAGCAGTATTCAGACAACAAAAGCAATCAATTTGGTCTACCATGCACAATATCACCGGTAGTAAATCAGAATTAGACAGTTAACAAGCAACATTGGAATAAAACAGCAGCAATAGTGAATTTGATTCATAGTTAATTTTCTCTGTTAAATGTCAATGGCGAACACAGAGATAATCATGGAACCTGAAACATACTGTTACTTTTTAACCAGTTACAAAGGCTGTCTTCACCCAATCAGATAATAAATCATGAGAAAAGAAAAAATGTATTAATGGTGCTCAATGAGGCATGCTGTAATGGAGTTCGGAAAGCCAAACAATATTCTAGCATATTATGACATTGGGAGAAATGGATCGAGGATTTTCCTTTATATTGAACAGTAAATAGTAAAGCCTTGTGAGCGTGTATTGAGTTTTCAGTCTTGTTGCTCAACATACTAGTTTTTTTGCAAAATTGCTTTGAACTTTGGTAGATAGCAACAAATAAACTCATGAACAAGCTTAAGAGTTGTGATAACGTACACAGTTGACAATCTGAGGAGCTCCAGGTCCTGTGTGCAAAATCACAAAGATATCAGTTTCGTGTATAAACTTTTTGTATGCACATTGAATCATGGAAAAAGTAGACATTTTAATTCACATGAGTTACCTACATACCTATCTCAAGATCGTGCCAAGGATGAGCAGCAACTGACCTCCTCGACATGGATGAAAGAATCCTCTCATTCAAGCGAGGAGCAGGTTTTTGTTGTGCTTCTCCACTCATATTTCTGTTTAATAAAACCAACATAATCTTTTATAGGTGGTACTATGGAAGTTATATCCCCATTTGGTTTAGCTTAGGGGGAGGTTTTTTTTTTTTTTTTTTTTTTTTTTTTTTAATATTATTTTGGGAGTCGGTCCCATGAAGATTTGACTTAAATTCCAAAAATGTTAGAAATCTCAAAAATTTTATCAAAAATTCTACCAAATGTCTCACATAAGTGTGGAACCCACATTGCGTGATCCCACACCATGTGAAACATTTAGTAAAACTCTTGGTAGATTTTTTAGAGTCTCTAACATTACTCCTTAAATTCAGCTTATAACTAAATTATGAGTCAAAAAAGACTGAAACAAGTTGAAACAAAAATTATAATATTGGGAAGTTGGGGTGATTTTTCACTTCAGCGTTTACATGATTGTTTTTTTATTTCGGGCAAATAGATCATCATTTTTTAACTTTTCAGAAGCTACACCAAATGCGGCTTCTACCGCTGCAGAATAACTAGTTGTAACTCTATCTAGCAACATTTAATGCATTTATGAAAAAATATATACATAATGTTTTAAAAAGCAGCTAAGGATCCTAAACAATGATGAAATGACTTAATAGATGTAAATCTTAATTGAAACATATGTAACAAATCTGGAAGTTATCAAGTAGCTAGCCTGATGAAGGCTTTCCTTATTTTAAGGATCTTGAAACTTTGATTAGGTTCATGTAGTTGCCTCATTGAATGAATTAGGAACATAAAAGATCAAATCTGTGAATAGTTTCAAAACGAAACAAATACTGTACTTATTCAAGAAATGTTTAAACGATTTTTTTTTTAAAAAAAAAAAAAGTTGAAAACCAAACTGGAAGGCACATTCAGAGAGAATCCAACCATCATGGTCTAATCATCCATGCAAAAGTAACATTTTGTTCATATGTGGATTCATTCATGTATGAAAAATAAGAAGCGTAGGTTCAATCAACTTAAGATCACAAGAAAGAGAGATACCTAAGGTTTGGAGATAGACAAGTGAGGGCCGTCCAGTTTGATCTCACCGCAGAGGCAGAGGCAGAGGCTGCAGCAAAGTCAAATGTGAAGTAAGATTCGATTAAAGTCTTTCACTCTTGTTTCATTTGATATATATACAAACTAGAGAGAGAGTGTGTGTCTGTGGGTAGGGTTAATTTGGTACACGTGCGTGGTGACAGGAGAGGGAAACTAGAGAGCAGTTCGGCATGGATTATTGAATTTCAAAACAAATTTTGGTTAGGAGTTGAATTGGTCTGTAAGCAAATTGCAATTCTTCTTCTTGCCCCATCATGCGGAGCAATTTATGCCTTGTGTCGGGCTTTGATCGACCCCAATCGTCCTTTGTGGTTAAGCATTTTACAGGTGTGGGTATTTTTCTTCAAAAAGTTATTAAAACGTTTAACAAATTAAAAGGTTTTAATTTAGGATACTCGGTTCATAAATTTTATTTTAAATTTCTTTAGTTAAAGGTTTACATTCTAAAATATTTTATCAATAAAATAAAATGACTAAACTATCAATGTATATATATTATTTCCCGAACCCTAATCAAACCATTTTCTCACTCTTTCTCTATCGTCTCTCTCTCTCTTTCTCACTGCTCCCTCTCTGCCGATCTCCTCACCAGCGACCTCCCTCCTCTGCCAATCTCCCTTCTCTCTCTCTCTCTCTCTCTCTCTCTCTCTCTCATTCACTGCCATTTGCCGATCAAGCACATCACAATCGCCACTGCCTCCTCCAACCTCCACTATTTCTCTCCAATAGTGGGTACTGGCTTCGGGACTCTCAATGTGTCGTCGTCCTTCTCGATTTAGCTTAGGCAGAAATCGACGAGACGCGTTTGCAATGGCGAATGTGATCATCCACACACTCTACAACCACATTGTTACCCAAAAGACAATCTAAGAGGTAGGTGAATTAAGTTTTTTACAAATAAAATGCTAACAATTACCTAATAAAATTAATTAACAAGAGCAACAAATATAGTAAGTATAACAAATGGTAAGAAGAGTAGATTATGACAATGAGTAAATGTAATAGATTATATTTGATAAGTAAAAGAAGGTTGGATGATTAACACAACAAGATCAGACAGTTATTAAAAATGAATTGGTAATGAAATATCGGTTAGCTATAGTAGATAGGTGAAGAACTTGAGATGAAATCAACAACTGATAACAATGACAACTATAGCAATAAATGAAATGTAAAGAGATAAGGGAAAAGGAGACGAATAGATTTATAGTGGTTCAATTTTAATCAAGCCTACATCCACTCCTCAAGCTTCACTTGAGATTTTTCCATTATTTCTCTAACTTCACAGGGGTGCTAGCAACCTCTTCTCAAATGGAGCAATCCTTCACAAATTTTATATAGGCTTCAGAACTTTGAAATCCTTAGATTATCTTTAATCACTCTCAATGTTTCAAGAACACTGTGTGTTATAGTTTTACAAATTGTAATGGTGTTTTTGCTTTCAAGGAAAAACTATAATCAAACTCTCTCAAGAAATATTGCAAAGAATGAAGTTCTGAGTTATATCAGTAAAAGGACCTCTCACAGGTGTACATGCTTAAAGCTAAAGCTCAAGACTAATTTCTGAAGAACAAGAAATACAGATGAAGAATTACTTCAGAGGGTTAAGAGAATGAGATTGATGAATGATCAAGAAGATTTTCTAGCTACTTGTCTTGTCTGTGTGTACTTCACAAAGCTCTATATATAATACAGAGTTGAGTGCTCTATTCTTCTGACAGTTCCCATTATGTTCTTCTCATTGAAGAGATGGGATGGTGATGGTTGAGGATGATATACAATTCATTGCTCAGAGAATCTCTGCTGCCTATGTGTATTTTGCCCATTGAATGATGGGTATATAATACAAAAAAAATTCTTTTTTGCTTTCAACATCTTTCTAATAAATTGAATTTCTCTGCACATTGGACATCCACCCAGATATCCTCAGTAAAGCTTTGTATCTGTCCGTGAAGTCCCGATCATCAAAGTTGTCATCCGCGGTCTTCGAGCATACTGTTTGTCTAACGTTCGAAGCAAAACAGAGCTGCATAGAATCAAAACTGGGATAAACTAACTTGCTCGGTCGTCCGGACGAACATCTGGCCCCTTTTAGGCTAGGCTGCTTCGACTGCTACTCTCTGTTGCCGTTGTTTTGTTGTTTTGCTATTTGTCCTGCTGCTGTTTTAGGCTTAATTCAATATCTGTTTGAGCTTTGTTTTTCAAAAACAACAAAATTTGAGTATTGACGCAGATTAATTTTGATCAATTAAACTTATTCAAATAAATAAATTTAAAAAAACAAAAACAAAAACAATTATCAAAATCAAATATGTCTAACAATCTCTCCCTTTTTGATGATAACAGACCATGATGTTTTTGATTTGTTTAGGAATGAAGAAAACTCCGCCTCAGTGTTTGCTTAAATAGAATGTTAGCATATATGCGCTTAGAAAGCTTAATTAAAACAAGAAAAATAACCAAGATCTGGAGAAAAACAACTTACTTAGATAATTAAGATTCACATATTTAAGTACCAACAAAGAACAGTTTAGGCTAGAGTTCATGTTAAAGTCATTTGAAAAAAAAAAATTAATAAAACATAAGAACGAGAAAAACGAACAAAAACAAATGTTACCATTCGTTCTCCTCCTATGACATTATCAAAAACACATAAATTATTGCTCAGAATCAGGAGGAGGTGGAGGGAAATGATATTGATAAATGGCATCTACTTGGATCTCAATGTGATCAACACGGGTGTTGAGCGCACCAAATTGTTGAATCAAAGAATTTTGAGCATCTCTGAATTGAGCCAGTTGAGTGGCCATTTGTCATTCCCATTGAATACGTTGATTATATCTTTCTTGTTCGAGTGCCATAAAGTCTGTCCAATAGGCAGACGACTGTTGTTGTGGTGGTGGCATGGCAACTTGAGGATGGTCTTGAGGATCCTCCATGGGAACATCAGGAGTAGCCATACTTCATGGCAAAACATTACCCCCTCCAGTTCGGTTGATTGTTTACTCACTGATATCTGAACCAATAAGGGTTTCGAGCTCATTTGAAAATCTAACTCTGAAGTGCTTCAGTAGTTTGGTCAACAAAGCTCTAAAGGCTAAAGATTTATCTCTTGTGGAGGAAACAAGTGTCATTTCTCTCATAATAATATAGCTTAAGTCAATGGGCTGATCAACTTTAAAACAATATAGCAGGTATGCATTAAAGGTAGGAATAACATCAAAATGGCCTGCTTTAGGAGTTACATTCTCTACGAGAAAACGGTGAAGAATGCGAATGTGGGGTTTGAGGTGTTTGGCAACAAGATTTGAGCATTTCACCCTTATATCATTGTTAAGATTCATATACTTTGTTGGATTATTTCAACTGGGCTTTGGCTCACCCTATATGGGAAAACCATTTTCAGGTGCTGATGATATGTCTCTGCTAAGGCAATAGCTTGGGAGGACTTGGAATCAAGAGCTTCGTTTTGTTTATTTTTGTTGTATTTATTTGTACAAGACTAGGGCTTTAACTGTATTGAATTTTCCATCCATTTTGTTATAACCAAGCACTGTCTTGGAAAACTGTAAGCCTTTAGGACATTTCTTTTGCTTGAAGTTTATTTTATCATGTAACATATGCTATAGATTCAGGGATGGGCTTTTGAATGTATATCCACATATGTTACTCTTTTATAACCTTAATTGGAACTTAATGGAATATGATTACCTTCTTATTGTTGTCATTTATTAATATTGAAGTTAGGTTATTGTATTTATTTCAGGGCGTTGCAACTTGGTATCAGAGCGTACCGGGTTTAAATATTTTGGATACGTAGGAAGTGGTTCATACCACAATGGGTTTATCTCGCTTGATAGAGATAGTTACACGTATGGTGTGCTATGTGATAACATGCTTATGTGACTATGTGGGTATGGAACTTAATTTCCAAGATGTTGATTGGGTCTACGGGTTTCTAGAAGTCCTATTAGAAGAGCACTTGATCACTGCTATTTCTAATTGGAACTCTAGTAGCGCCGCCGAACAATCATTATCTAGAAAGGAAGTTCGTATGTGTTTAGGTGATTATGTGCTTATGTAGAGTGAATTATTTGTTGTCCACCGCATTAGGACACGAGTGAGTTAGCTTTGGTACATTTGTAAATGTGCTAATCTCTAGTATTACTTTTATTAGGATGCCAGGACGTGGGTGTGGTGGTAGTAGGCGTGGCAGGCCTAGACGGCAAGAGGTGCCGTTACTGGATGATATTCCAGCGCAAGAGGAAGGGGTTGGTCAGGCCAATGTGGCTAAACCGGTTGGTCAACAAGCCATAGGCGCTTTGGTCCGAGAAATAGCCAAAGCTTTATAGGAATCCATGGACATTCTCAGGGCTGATAATCAAGTCCAAGCCCAAGTAGCAGAGATAGGGCCATCTTTTCTGAAAAGAAAGTTCTTCTGGTCTAATTTGGACAAGTTTATAGGGGATCTGAAAGAGCCCTTGAAAAAGGATGAATGGCTCGAGCACATGGTGAAGACGTTTGAGATGCTTGGAATTGAAGACGATGGGTTAAAGGGTGACCTTGGCATCTTTCTAGTTAAAGGGAGATGCTTGTCAACGTCTTCCAGGACAAGTTCTTGCCTCTCACCACTAGGGACAAGTTGAGAGATCAGTTTCTGAAGTTCAAGTAGCTTAACTTACCTGTAACCGAGTTTGAGGCATCTTTCACTAGCCTCTCTACATTTGCATTGTAGCTTGTGGCAACAGAGGAATGTTGTTGTATCGAGTTCGAGAAGAGGTTGAGGACCATGCTTCTTGTCACACCCCAAACTTGCCCCTAAAATTTCGGGCATGACCTACTCAGAAACAGACACTTAACGTACTATATAAAATATCCGGGGCCTGAACGGAAGCGTTAATATAATAGAATAACATGCAGACACATCCATTGAGCTACTATAAATATGCCAGGACCACGACTCGGAATTAAACATATAGCGGACATGCATCAGAGATTAAGTTACATACACATTTACAAGTCCAGCCCAGAAGTTGGGCATACAACAAAACATTAGATACAAATGACTTTGGCTAACAAAACATTAGTACAAAATGACAAAGTCTAGCAAAACTGCACTAGCATGCAAAGGCTTCTCCAAGTGCCTGGTTGTCCTTAGGTTGACAAAAGATAGATGAAATTGATGCTAGGACTGACCTCCAAGTTGATTACCTACAGAATCAGACAAAATTACAGAGTGAGACAAGCTCAGTGAATAATAGTACTTAAGCAGTTTAATAACCAACTTTAACCACAATGCATAAC